TTCACTCATTCATCCAACAAATATTTGTTGGATGTAATCCTATGTACTACTATGTACTACCAGGGCTACGTCATACAACAAAAAATAAGGAAAGCAAGATAAAATGACTAAAAGGGCAAATACAAATCAGCACTTATTCTTTAGCAACCTAATATAAGCACTTTCAAGAAATAATTTAAACAGTCACATTAAACAATGAATGATGCTGCTGTTTAAGAGCCATTTGTTATGCCAGTCAGTTATGGTGACAGATGAGAGTGCTCCAGTTATATATTTCTGGCTGGAGGCCAGTTATCATTCAGTTTAAGCATCTAGTCCCAATAACAGGATATGAGGAACAGTTGAATTGAGAAATGCAAATCTGTTGTGCAGATATGGATAACAGGAGTGCCACTTGGGTCTGACAAATATTGAGATGGCAGTAATATAATTTTAAGCCTTCAAAAACCACCCATAAGACTATGTGACAGGGTGGGGTGAGGGTGGGATGGGGGTGGGAGAGTATAGAATGGGGGGAATCAGATTTAATTAAGAAATCATAAGCCAGGAAATGTAAAAACTTAATGGTAATTCATCCACTTTGCCTATTTGTAGCATCCAAAATACTGAGCTTCCTGGTCAAGCCTGAAGGGACGAGTTTTAAGACACTTACATCCCATGACACCATGAGCAACATTATAAATACATCCCCTCATCCCTCCCAGTAATATAAGCACCTCTGTCATCCCTTTAATAGGTGAAGAAACTGAGGCTCACAGACCATTTAGGGCACTGTGCAAGTGGTCAATTTTGAACTCCAGTGTGCGTGGCTGCCTTTAAACTTTATCAATTCTTACAAGTTTGACAGTTTGAATGAGCCACATTTTCTGCTTTCCTTGATCATTCATTATAACATTTAAACTTCAATGCTCTATTTGAGTACTCTGCAGCATCTGATGCTCAGAACATTTTCATTTATTCCCACAGGCAGCTCATGTCAAAGATGAAGTAAGAGTTGATACAAGGATGCCTCATTAATCTCCAATACAAATAGAAATTTTTCTTTTTTTTCATAAACAATTTATATTTATTAGTTCATCCTCACAGTAACTCCATCAGATAGGTACAAATTTTGTCTTCACTTTGCAGATAAGGAAACTGCAGTTAAGTAACTTACACAAGGTTACATTGTTAGTATTAGAATTCAGATTCAAATCTAAGTCCATGCCTTAGGCTCCATGCTACTAGCCACTATGGTATACTGCTTCCACAGTGTCATAATGGCACTGGTGGGGATGGTGGCGGTAGTGAAACATATTCATTTGATATGTATTTGTTAGCACCTACTGTGTGCTAGGCACTGTTCTGGGAGTTATCGTTAATAACATTTGTCTTTATTTCTTTTTATAAACTTTTTTTTTAAATTTATTTTTTCAGATACATTTGTCTCTGCCTACCCCCCACCACTTTCCCTTGGCCCCTCCCTCCTTCCCTCCCTCAGCTCTTCCCCTTTGGTTTCGTCCATGAGTCCTTGCTATATGTTCCTTGACTTTCCCCTTCTCTTCCTTTTCCCCGCCCTCCCCGCCTCCCCCCACCCGCCTCCTTCCCTCTTGTCTCTGTTGATTTCTTTTCCTTTTAGTGTTGCTGGTCTTATTTTCCTTGCATCTTTGTACTGTTGGTTAGGTTCCACTTATAGGTGAGATCATATGGTATTTGTCTTTCGCTCCCTGGCTTATTTCGCTTAGCATAATGTTCTCCAGTTCCACCCATGCTGTCGCGAAGTTTAGTAGTTCTTTTCTTCTTTCTGCTGTGTAGTATTCCATTGTGTATATGTACCATAATTTTTTAATCTAATCATCTACTGATGGGCATTTAGGTTGCTTCCAACACTTGGCTATTGTCAATTGTGCTGCTATGAACATTGGGGTGCATAGGTTCTTTTGTATTGGCGTTTTGCTGTTCTTAGGGTACAGTCCCAGCAGGGGAATCACTGGATCGAAAGGAAGTTCCATTTTCAGCTTTTTGAGGAAATTCCACACTGCTTTCCACAGTGGCTACACCAGTCTGCATTCCCACCAACAGTGGACTAGGGTTCCCTTTTCTCCACAGCCTTTCCAGCACCTGTTGTGTGTTGATCTGTTTATGACGGCCATTCTGACCGGTGTGAGGTGGTACCTCATGGTGGTTTTGATCTGCATTTCTCTGATGGCTAGTGATGCTGAGCATCCTTTCTAATGCCTCTGGGCCCTCTGTATCTCCTCCTTGGAAAAGCGTCTGCCCAGGTCCTTTGCCCGTTTTTTGATTGGATCGTTTGTCTGCTTGGAGTGGAGTCGAGTGAGTTCTTTACATATCTTGGAGATCAAACCTCTATCTGATGTATCATTAGCGAATATATTTTCCCATAGGGTTGGCTCCCTTTTCATTTTGCTGATTTTTTTCTTTAGCCATGCAGAAGCTTCTTATTTTGATGAGGTCCCACTTGTTTATTCTTTCCTTTATGTCCCTTGCTTTAGGAGACATATCAGTGAAAAAATTGCTGCGTGGGAACAAATAGAAATTTTTCTGATTCTCTGAAAGCATTTCATAATTGCCTGGGGGCTGAACCTTTTTCTAACCCCCTTGTTACAAAATTATTTATGGGCAGAAATTAGATACACAGCCCTCAATGTGAAATCTTAATTATTGCCCTTTTAGCTGATTTTTGTGCCCTTTGAAGAGACATAAATTAGAATCATAGCTGAATAAATTCAAATAAAGGCTGCACCATTGAAATAGCTGCCCTATGGTTTAGAAGTGAATTCTCAGCACCAAATCCACCTGTCATTTCTCCACGTCTACTCTTCAGAGGAACAAAAAAGAACAGATATAAAGAGGAGAAAAATAAAAACAACCTTCACTTCTATCTTTCAGCTACTGTAGGCTTCACTACAAGTATATTTTCTTGAGGATAGGGCCATGTCTTGTTCTTTCTGTGCCCCAGGGCCTACTCTGTGATCAGCACATGGTAGTATTTATAAATGTTTGCTTGGGCGACTTAATCTCTTTTCAAATATTTTTTACACATATTAAAACAAAGGCTCATTTCATTTTTTACCCATTACATTCCATCCTTTGTGCAGTCCAATAAAAGGAAGAGCACACTGAATATACTTTGGCCAACAGCAAGATTAAAACAAAAGATCTATCACTGAAATGTGAATTGTGAGGTCTCCCTTATTTAACAGCAGGTCCTAAATCCAGAGACAAGGCCACCTGACAATTACAGGCCAGGCTGAGGGCTCTGCTCTCTGGCCTCCAGCCCCACTACCATTCCACCTGGTCACACCTGCACCTCTTTAGCACTACATGGGGGAGGAAGGTTAATTATGAGTAGGGGACAGGAATTAATTTGTCAGAGGAAGCCAAATGGGTAAGTGAAAAATACATAAGCTTTAAAAACAGTTAGACTTTACAACCTAAGGCAAGTTGTGATTTGTTCTCCAGAAAATAGCTATGAATGAAAAAAAAAAAAATCAGTATTTTCTGGACCTATTTAGAGGACAGCCTCCAACGCCCATTTTTTGGGGGAGGGATGAAAGCCCAGGCTCTAGGTCCTTAGTTGAAGATGTGTTTCATGGCTTACTAGATGGGTAACCATATGTAATGTTGAACTTTTCTGAGTTTCAGGGCCTCCTATATAAAAGGGAGTTGATGTAAAAGGGGATTTGGCTTAGAGGGTTGTTGTAAGGGGAAAATGAGATGATTTAACCAGTCCCAACTCAGTGGGCAACTAATCAATGAGACAGCTTCTCTGACCACTCATACTATTACTATTATTACAGCAGTAGTCAAATCACAGGTGAAAGAGGAGCAGTCAGTACCTGAATCACTGATATTTGTTGTACTAGCTTTTTCTGTTTATAGTCCCCTTTAGCAGAGCATACTCTGCTGTTAATAAAAACGAGGATCTGATCATTGTGGTCTTTCCTGGTTCAATCAGGACAACTGGTCTGTATCAGTAAGTCAGGAGGATGAGGTGGGATTGTGGGTCCCTTTGAATTCAGCTGTGTCTCAAAACTAAGTACTTCTTTTAGAGCACTACAGGAGCATTGGCTCCTCAGTTTGTAAAAGTACCATCAGGGCAGTATCCAGTTCTCAGAAATTCTGAGTTGAAGGGCAACTAAGTGGGTGACACCATTAACTGCAAATGCTTTAAAGACCCTGAGCCATGTCAAACTGATTTGGATTTGTACTGTAGTTACTGCCATTTTCTTAGTATCAGTTTGAATCATCTAATCTGGATTTGAATCCTAGGTCTGCCAGTTCCCCTTGATTACCTTCTGAACCTCTCTTTTCTCATCTGCAAAATGTAGATGAAAACAACAGAAGGAACCTTATAAGGCTGTTGTGAGGAATAAATGAAATGGCTGTTAAGACACTTATCAAAGTGCTTTGATCAGTATTAAATATTGTTATTTTATTCTTTTCATGTGGGCCACCCAAAATTCTAGTATTCAAAACTGTGCAGGGAACATATCCAAAGTATCCTGTAAACTGTAGAAAAAAGGGAGTCTGAAAGAATTTTTATCTGGGGCAGTGCCATGATCAAAACTCAACTCACACTGACTGCAGTGTAATAATGACTAGTATGTACTAAGCACTTACTGTGTGCAGGTCTCCATGAAGCAAGTTACATGCATGGCATTTGTCATGAGGAGGAGTAGGGAGAGGGCAGAGGTGGGCAGGTCAATTCAGAGTGGGAAAAAAGGTAAGGAGCACTTTAATCCATGTATGTAACAAACAGTAGGTACATGTCCAAGAGACTTGGCAGATTACCCTGTGGAACCTGCGTGGCCAGAGAGATGGCAGTGCATGTGTACATCCAACTATGTGCCCTGGCTGGAGCTGAGTAAGTGACCCCAAACAGACTTCCCTTCTCCAAGGGATCATTTTGAGAACAACCACTTGATTGTACTGAGATAATGATCTACCATCTGATAAAAATGAATCATTGAGCATTTAGAAGAAATAAAACCACCAACCTCAAAACATTTTTCTTTCTTTGCCTGGTGAAGCAGGCTAGCTATTCCAGGAAGCAAAATTGGAAAGATGAATGTTTCTAAATATTCCTTGGGGGAACCTAAAACAAACAAAAAGATTCCCACTAAAAATCCCAAATGGCTGTCAGTTGGAGGTCAAAGTCTTGGCATCAATTCAACACCAACAGAATTCCCAATTTGGGGTGCTGTGAAGAAGGAAACTTTATTCAGTGCAAAAGAGCTCGATTGTGATACAGTACAGCTGTGAAAACAGCATGGCTGTCAGGTAGCCGTGGAGGCAGGCCCCTCTATAGCTAGACAGCTCTGTTCTGCTGTGCCCTGCTCTGTGTCAGTCTCATTTGTGCTGCACTGATCTGCTCCACTCTGCTCTGGTGAGACATCTTTGGTGTTTCATTTCAGCTGGGGAAACTCAGTCTTCAGTCTTTTGTGGAAAGGCAAAGTGTGCTCTTAGAACCAGAGGGGCTTATATAAACAGAAGTCCCAAATCCTGGTCCCTGATTGGTCTGTCCTCACGCAATTGAAGACTCCGAATTCTTGCCTTTTGATTGGTCCTAAAGGCACTGTCCTGACTGCTCAGAATGAAGCCACTTTGTTTGATGAAGATGTTGATGGGGTGGGATATAGCTGCATAGCTCCTACTGAACGGGGAGAGCCTTAGTCCTATTGGCTGAAATAGGGTTCCAAGAACTCCTTTATAGGGCCTGGCTCAGATGACAGAAACACAGTGCAGGCAGGCAGTTCAGTGCAGACTTCTCCCTGAAGAGCAGTTTGCATGAGAGGCTCCTGTGCAGAAATGGCTGCTAGACTGTTTTTGTTTGTTTGTTTGTTTGTTTGTTTGTTTGTTTAATCTGATTCCAGTAGGCTACCGGAAGCCCTTCTTAGTAGTGTCTCTTTCTCAGGGCTCACATGGCCAGACAAGTTAATCTGAGAGAAACATTTGCTTCTGAACAACAACAAAAAACAAACAAAAAAACTGTGCATAAAATAACATGATCTTAAATGTTACTCGAGATTGCTGAGTTGGGCTGTGCTATATTACTAAAGAAACTTAAGGTACATTTGCACCTCTGTAGTCCAATGAGGATATGGACCGGGTGCTACAGGGCCAGATGCACAGCAAGGCCAGTGTGGCTGAAGGAAAATGAGCCGAGGGACTGGGGTAGGAACTGAAGTTAGAGAAGAACGGAGTGGGGGTACAATGGAGAGTGCCTCAGGGCCACAGTAACGATATCACTGGATGCCAAGGCCCAAAGCACAGTAGCAGACGGGAACAAACCAATAGGAGAAGCCTGGCTTCAGAGAGGACTGGAGGAACTGAGGTTTAGGCAGGAAGGCCTAGAAAGCCTACATTTCTGGCTTGAACTCACAAAGCAGGGCAGCAGTGTATTTTCTTTTACTTTCTACATTTTTGCCCCTTTGTATTTAATGCAGAATCAGAATATGCATGTTATTTATCATTATTATTCTATTTCAACCTTAAAGATAAATCAGTGGAATAAAGGCTACTTCTTTTAAAAATTAAATTTAAAACACGAACATATTCTTTATGCAGCCTCCCTGAGGTCTCTCTGTCCACCCCAACCCCTACTCTGTGGTTTTGAAATGTTACAAACCCCAAAGTATGAAAGATGAAATGTTCCTTACTTACATGTTTTTGGATCAACTGCTTCCAATTTAACTTGAGTGTAAGGTATATGTGAATCCACGGTCAAATGAGGAACTGAATAAAGATGTTCTGTATTGAAGCCATGAAAAACTATTTCTTCCATTGGTGAAACCTGGTAGGGGGGGAGGGCGTGGAGTAAAGAATACATTCCTATAAATAGTTTAAATAATTGCATTTTCTTTTATAACTTAAAACAGGAATAAAATTCTGCATCAGACTTTAGATTCAAGGAGGCATATTGCGCACAAGTCTTTGTCTCTCTTCCCTCCTGTGACAAACAAAGAATAACTCCCCAATATAGAATATGGGGACTATCAGTGAAGGAGAGATTTGCAAACATTTCCAAATGAACCAGGGATGAGCTTCTCATCAGGTAAGAGAGGGGGGAAATGGCAGCCCAGAATCTATAGTAGGAAACTACACCAGAAGATGGGAGTCCATCTTCCCACCAGAATTCCAAAGGGCTTCAATGCTCAAGGGTTCAATTCCTCAGAGGGTGAGAATGAAAAGGGAATGATAATAAACAAGAAGGGTTAAGTGAAAATCTGGCTGGGGCTTCACTGGCCTGCCGACCACATTTTCCTTCCTCCTGCTTCTGCCCTCTTCTATACACATAAAGCTATGCTCACGGCAGCCCTTTCTATCCAGCTCTTCTTGCAGTGACTCTTCTGTAAACAAATTAAACAAATAGCCTTGGAAGGAGTATAAGTAACTACACAGGGTGCCATGTTGGTGGTCAAAAGAAAAAAAAAAAAAATCCACCATTGATTTGGAGGTTCCCTGCCTGTGGACCCTGAAGAAAAGTTTTCCAGTGATCAGTCACTCCCTAGAGCTCCCAGTTGGTGTTTCTATTCATAGGATAGATCCATCCAGAAAACAAATCTATAGGTACAATAGTAGAAGAAAACCACACCAGCTATGTAGAAAAAGCCACTCAGGCACCCATTTTAAATACTGAATACACAGTCAAAGCTTTCCACACAGATAAGGAGCATCAACAGTATAAATGACAAAGATCAAGATCTACAGAGAACAACTGACCCTGGAAGAAGCACAAATAATTCAGGGAAGGGAATTATGATTAGTACCCGCAGAGAAATTTGAGAAAACATTGCATCCATAAAGCAAGAACAGGATGCTATGAAAAAAAAGAATAATATAGGCCAAGACCGTTCTTAGACCCAAGATTCTCTAACAGTAGTAGCTGCAGTAACATACCGGAAAGCTAGCCTTAGATTTTGATCCCATCCCTGTGACCCTGCTAAAGTCCCTTCATCCCTCAGTCTGCCTTATTTTAAATTCCATTAGGTTCTTATTTTACTCCAAGAAGACTGTTGGAGGGCCTCTCTTCTCTTAATAGTTTTCTTCTCACCCATTTGGGCAAGCATGGGGAAATCTGCTCTATCTGCAACTGTCCCCAAGGATCAAATGAGATCATCCAGTATCTCATCTGAGCCCCAGAGAGGCACTGTGAATTGGTCAAGGATTATCTGATCCATTTAACAGATGTGGAAACTGAGGCTTAAAGAGGTTATGAGATACCCTTTAAATCACACTGTTAGTTATAAAGATAGGACTGGTCCTACATTTCTGATTCTGGAAACATTTCTGGTTTCAGTGCCTTTCCTAATTTATGACCCTGTGTGACATTCACCAGCTATCAGTGCTGTTCTTATTTAAAAGCTTTTAACTTAGGTTTAGGTGGGGCAATACTCACAGTAATCACAGCTTCTGGTTTGATTTTGTATTCCTCTGGAAAGGGAGGCAGCTCAGCTTCATGCTCTAAAAGGGACGGGGGAAAAATCTTCACTTCCATAGTTCACTGCAGATTATGATGTAATCTTCTTTCCTCTAAATAAACACTCTTAAATTTTATTTTGGTTGGTGGTTTATAGAAATGAAAAATAACTGGCCATTACAGGTTAATAATTAATGTGAACTACCTTATTTACAATGAATAAGACGTAAATTGCTCACTCGTGTGAAGAGTCCAGGCTTTATGTATGAGTTCGACTTTCCCCAAGAGGGTACAAACTTTAGATTTTGCTCCCTACAAGAGAATGAGAGTGCCTAAGGGAAGAACATGGCACACAGGGAAGAAAGGAGACAGAAAAGGAGGAAAGCATGAGGGCAGGGCAAAATCAGAGACAGAGGGAAGAGAGCCATCTCAAGCAGTCACTGGTAAAACTACTAGTTTGGGGTACATGACTGAAAAGCATGCCCATAAACCCTTGCTTCTCAAAGTATGGCCCCCGAACCAGCCCCAGCATCATCCTTGGGGAGCCAGAAATCTGACATCTCAGGCCCTGGCCCATACCTGCAGAACCTAAATCAGCACGTGACTTGTATTTGTAAACACATTAAAATTGGAGAAGTCCTGCTGGAAGCTCCTGTAGTTTCCTATCCTGGCGGCACGTTAGAACAACCTGGGAGTTTTTTGAAACTATCCATGTCTAGGCCCAATCCAAGAAATTTTGATTTGATAAGTCTGGGGCAAGAGCCCGGGACTCAGTATTTTTAAAGTTCTCCAGGTGATTATAAAATGCAGTGAGGTGGAGTACAATTACCAGGTTTCAAGACTAATTACAGTCAATTTGTTGGAGGGCTTAATGCAAAGAACATTCCATACAAGTTCTGCAGGATAACAAGCATTGCTGAGAGAGGGACAGAAAATGCTCACGGCCATATTAGTTACACCCTTAAAGGAAAAACTGATAAAAATATTTCTGGAAAGGTCCGTGTTTTAAAGGCAAATGCATGGTGACTTTGAATTGATGAGGGAAAACAAAACTTTTGGGCAAGAGGGTATCGATGGACTACAGTTGTACTGGACACAAGTTGTATTTTGTTAGCTAGTTCCTTATCAGAAAGAATATTTCTAAACAAAAATGTTTTTTTAATTCCTAGGTATCAGGTTGGGGACAAGTATGCCAGGCTGCAGGTGATAAGCAATTTTGATTTCCAATACTAGTCATATTCATTTTCTATTGCCGTGCAACAAATTACCACAAACTTACTTAAAACAACACAAATTTATTATCTCAGTTCCTGTAGGTCAGGTCTCATCAGGCTAACCAAGGTTAGCCATGGCTGTGTTCTTATCTGAGGGCTGGGGTCATCTGCAAGCTCAGTGGTTGTGGCAGTATCCAGTTTCTTGTGGTTGGGGGTCTGAAGTCCCCATTTCCTTTTTGGTTGTTGGTGAGGACTGCCCTAAACTCCTAGAGGCTGCTCTCAGGCCCTTGTCACAAGGTAGTTCACACATGGTTATTTGCTCATTGAAAGCAAGCAGGAATGTCTTTTGGTTCAATCTTTCCAATTTAAATGCTCACCTGGTTTGGTCAGGTCCACCTAAAATGATCTCTAATTTAACGTCAGCTGATTACAGACTTAATTTTTCTCTTGACAACAATGCCTAGATTAGTGATTTATTGACTAAACTGGGAGGTGAGTGTACTAGGGAGTGGGAACTTTGAGGGCCAAGCCATCTGAGAATTCTGTCCATCACAATAGTTCTAGCTCTACCATCTTCCCCACCTCTCAATCATGTAATTTCAGGTTTCTTCCCCCATCCTGTTGAGAATCACCAATACAGTGTGAAAACTACAGGGTCTGGCACAAATAATGTCCCTTTTTTTATCACAAAATCTTTTATTGCAAAATCATAAGCATGTAATTCTGTAGAATAACAATGTTTCACTCAAGTATACCATATGACATTTTAGGTGAAATATTCAAATTAAAACTATAAATTATTACACCCATATTATTACCCTACCAACCACACTCAGGCACGTGTTACTTCTGCAGGACCCTGTATTTATCTGAATTTGATATATGCAATTATAGCTTTGTCCAATTACAAAAGCTTATAGTGAGAAAATTCCAAATAATACAAAGATGTCTTATGTAGAGAGTGTAAGTCATGCATAATGCCCTTACAACCAATAGCAATTGTTGAATTTGGCAAAGATCCAACCTAATCTTTTCAAAACATTTACTAACATAATATATGTAATACATAAATACATTTATTTACTTTAGATCTCCTAGACTAGGTCAAGTAATCCAAGTATAGGACCTTACCATGTTGTCTTTTTTCTTCGTATTAGTTTTACCCTTATTTGAAATTTGTAAAAATTAATCTCCTCTAATAGACTGTGAATTTTTGATGGAATTACCTAGGTTTGTTTGTGCTCACTATCATATTCCCACAGAATACTTGTTAAATGAATGAATAAATGAACAAAACAGTACAGCAAGTTACTTTTGACCCTTGATCTACTTAACTATTCATTCATATTTACTGAGAGCCCGCTATGTGCAAGGAACCACTAGGTGTTGAATCTTGGACATCTTTTGAGGCTGCTACATATATTATGTGCCACATTTAGTTAGTCAATGTACTCTTTGTAGGTATTTACTGATACTAATAAAAGTGGTTTTGAGAATACAAAGCCTGAGTTGTCACTGGAAAGCTGAAAAAAACAATGCACATTTACAAATAAGTTATCATAAGGTTTTCCTGCCCTGTGCCCCTGACAAGAGCACTAGTCAGGTAGCTTATATGTCTTGTTTAAGTTAGATATTTACCTATTCTGTATCTCATCTCCCTGTGACTGAGTTTCTTACCCATCTGTTTGCTGTGAGAATTTGCTTTTTAAGTGTGTAATACTTAACCTTGAAGATAGGATTATCTCAAAGCCTATTTTTTACGTTTGTTGTGAGAAACTGAATTTATTCATTATGTTTGTTATAGAACATTGCATTTCTTAGAATGTTTGTTTTAAGAAATTGGGCTTATTCACCCTGGCCAGGTGGCTCAGTTGGTTAGAGCATCATCCTGTACACCAAACCGCTGTAGGTTTGATTCTGGGTTGCAGCACATACCTAAGCTGTGGGTTTGATCCATGATGGGGCATGTAAGGAAGGTAAACGATAGATGTTTCTATGTCACATTAATGTCTCTCTCTCTTTCTCTCTCTCTCTCTCTCTAAAAACCATAAAAACATATCCTCAGGTGAGGATAAAAAAGAAAGAAATTGGACTTACTCATCTAGGTTAGTAATAATCATTAATGAGCCAGTGTGTATAACTCACCATCTTTTTTTTTTTTTTTTTAAGATTTCACTTACTTATTTGTAGAGGGGAAGGGACGGAGAAAGAGAGGGAGAACACATCAACATGAGATAGAAACACTGACTGGTTGCCTTTCATATGTGCCCCGACCAGGGATTGAACCTGCAACCCAGACATGTGCCCTGACAGGGAATAGAACCAGCCACCCCTCGCTTTGCAGAACAACACCCAACCAACTGAGCCACACTGGTCAAGACTAACTCAACATCTTGACTTCATTAACTTCGTGTTGTAATTCTACCACTCCCAAAGTGACATCAATTCACTCGCTTCTCAGAGGGCACCAAAACCCTATGTCTTTGCTTTCTCCCTACAGGTCTGTTTGACCAAAATAAATGCCATACTTCTAAAACACAATGCAGGGCATGTTTCTTTTTCAACAATAACACACATTTATTGAGCACTTCTAAATGCCGAGCACATTGCTGAGCACCTCTGCATATACGATCTTATTCGATGTCTTCACAACAACCATGTGAGGTAGGTACAAAGATTATTCCTCTCTTACAGATGAGGTTGAGTAGCTTCCCTACCAAAACACCACTAGCTATGAAGAGCTATTTGCCTAGAGAATTGAAAGCTCTGAGTGAAAGGACTGTCCTTTATTGTGAAAGGACAGTCACAGTAACAACTTTCAAATATCTGACTGTATTTTTTAATGGTAGAGTGATTAGCATATTGGGTCATAGCATCAAGGAGGTAAGGACCAATGGATACAAGTTACAAAAAGATGAAACGGATTTTTCTGGATATACTGCAATGTAATACTCGGAAAATAAATTTGAGCATTGGATGGAAGTTGAAATGGATGGCCTATGAGGGCATCTGTCAACTCTGAGTCCACTATTCTCTTCCCCCTCGGTATTTCCAATTCTCTCAACTCATCACCCTCTCTCTCCTTCTGCCTGGACCCATATACTGGTGCATTTATCCTTTTCCTCCATTCAACAAATATTTGCTGACCTGTATTATCCATTATAGTAGCCACTGGAAGCTGTATAAATTAAGTAAAATAACAAACTCAGTTCCCAAGTTGTACTAACCATATTTCAATTGCTTAATAACCACATGTGGCTAGTGGCTACCGCATTGGAAAGTTCTACTGGACAGTGCTGTTTCAGACAGCTGAAGTAATGATGGCAGCTACAAGAATAAAATATCTTAAGTTCTTGACCTTAAAGAGCTTACAGCCTAGGAGAGGAAAAATAAACACTGAGTCTCATTACTTCTTAAAAGCTAACATTTACTGAGTTTTTGCTGTAAATCGGGAAGCATGCTAAGTACTTTCTGCAACCATTCGGGTGCACTCTCCCAACACCATAAAACAGGTGCCATCATTATACTCCCTTTACAGAGTGAGTAACAAGATAAAATAACTTGCCCAACGTACATGGAGTATTTTTTATAGGGCCTCATGACCGAGGGTATGTATGTGTGGGACCACAAAAGATGGTGAGAATCCGTTTGGGGCCTTAAGGAATGGTTAGGAGAGGGATTAAGACCCAACTCTGTCTCTAGAACATGCTTGCTCATCATGTGGGCCATAGATTACCAACATCAGAATTGCCAGAGTAATCATAAAAAGTGCAGATTTCTAGCACCCCTTTAGGATCTCTATGGGCGGGCCCAGGGAAATCTACATTTTAAACCAACTCCCAACTCTGCCCCTGCTATTCTTTCCCGTTCACTAGATGAGGTTTAAGCACTATTGGTCCACACTCCCTGGTCCCCTTTTACTGCGCTTTCCCCAATCTGCCCCATAGTTGTCACCTGCCTATGGATAAACGTTGGAGGCCGCGCTAGGTGACTCACTCAGGCCTCTCTGGACCTCTCTCCCTGGCGTAAAATGGGGAGCTCTGCGGATCCGAGGAGCGACAGTCAACTGGCGCACAGAAGGCGCCCAATTACGCGGTCCCTTTGGGGCCGCCCAAGCCCCGCCCCTCTCGGCTTCCCGGGCTGCCTACCTTCGCAGATCTGCTCCCACAGGTTCTTGCCTGGAGGTTCTGTAACCTTCCCCGGCGAGAGGGGCCGCTCGGGGGACGCGGGGTACACGGTGGGCACTGGCATCCGAGCGGTGACAGACAACTCTAAGGAGTTAACCTCGCGTTGCGAAGCGCGGCTGGTCACCAGCGCCTGCAGGGTCACGGTTTCCACGGCAACCACGCTCTCCGCCCGGCCACGACCCGGAAGAAGCAGTAGCTCTGGGGCTGCGGACCAGCCTCTGGAAGTAGATATCCGGGTCATTCCGGAGTGACTGCTCTAGTGGAGTCGGAGAATTTTGACCTACAGGTGAGAACGGGTGATGCGACGCCAGAGGGGCAGAGAGGGACCTGGAGATGGGACGTGGAGACTTGGGCAGCGAACAGAGGGAAAAGCGGACGACCTGCACCCTCAAGTTCATGCCGCACCCTTTCCCCAGTCTCCGGTGTGCGCTCGCCCTGGCCTGAGGCCGCCGCCTTCAGGACGTTCTCCCTCCTTGTAGCCGGGAGTGCAGCTGGATTCTTCCCAGGGTGTTTGTGTGGAAACTTTGGCGCGGCGGAGCCTTTGAGGGACCAGCCTCGCCTCCTGGGTCCCTTCCTTCCTGCTAGTAATCTTGTGATGATGGGAGTGGAGGCTTGGTTGTGTTGTGCAGAACCCAGGCTCCAAATCTTGCGTCCTGCGTTCCAATGGCTTTTTTGCCACTTACCGGCTTTGGGACCCAGGGCAAGTGATTTAAAGTTTCCAAGCCTCAGTTTGCAAGTCTCTGAGATGGGGTAGTCACACCAGTCCTCATGAGGCTGCCGCGAGAATTTTGGTTCACTTCCTCTTCTTGAAGGAGCGAATGCACTTGGAGTCGCAGGGTTGAAGAAGATCTTCATTGCTAAAGAGGATAGATGCTGCAGTGTTCTGAATGGCAGAGGTGGGGAGAGAAGGGGATTAAGTTGACAACAGTCTCTTCTTGGTTTATTTTATTTTATTTTTTTGGCTTCTTTTGTTTATCAGGTCTGTTTTTTTGACCACTCCTCCATCTGAGGCACTTTGCTCCCTTAACTCCACACATTCCAGGTTTGCGCCTTCTCCATCTCCTTTGCCATCCCCTCTTTCTCTGCCCACCCATTTAAATGTCTGCTCTCTAAGGCTCTGTGTCAGACTCTTTCTGTTCAGTGCTTAGTTACTATACATATATTCCAAAGTTTGTTTTGCCCTTATCAGCCTAGTCACCCCTGAGCCTCAGACCCATATATCCGCCTGACCACGGAACATCTCCACGTGAATATCTCAAGGCATCTGTTCAAACCAGCATGTCTCCAGCCCACCACCACCCACCTTCAGTTCCTTTGTCTCAGGGTTTAGTGCCAACATCCTGCAGTTGCACAAGGTGGACAACTGTTCTTTAGAAAGTTTCCTGACAACTGGTAGTCTAGGTTAGAAGACCTCCATTACCCTGACAGCACTGCTGTGGTTGCTTTTATCACCTGTATCATCTATGTTGTTATACTTGTTTCCCTCCCACATCTACTTGCTTTTTGATTGCAGGTGTTTTATGTTGTTAATCTTTGTGTCTTTATTGTTCATCCCTCATTCAATGAACACATAGTTTTGAACACCTGCTATGTGCCAGGTACAGAGGCTCTGGGAGTACAGGCAGACCTCATTTTACTATGCTTCACTTTACTGCACTTCACAGGTGTTGAGTTTTTCCAAATGGAAGATGACCCTCCACCAGCCAAAAGATTGCTATTCACATTATTGTGATACTCGCATTATTAATGTGATCTGGAACCAAACCATAGAGGTCTGCCTGTACAGCAGAAAATAAGACAGGAGTGAATGAGTGGGTGTTCCCTTGACTTTCCAAGACCAATTGTGAATTGGGATTGAGCTCTGTCTCAGGCCTAGCCTTGGCTCTTTGAAGCTGCCAAGAGTGAGGCAGTTCTGATGCTAAAGAGAACTGCAAGATGGAGAAGCTCCTGACCTTTTCCTCCCACTGTGCAAACCTCCTGTTTGGGGACGTTTGTTTCTGGTTTCCCTTGGTGTCTTCAGGTCATACAGGAAACAGCAGGAACTGGAATGGTGACTAGAGTGAGAGAAATAGCCCAGCTGGAATTGTATTGAGGGCTCCAGCCCCTTCTCAAAGGTTCCTCCCTGACATTTAAAAAAAAGGCTGGGCACTCTAGGTTGCTCTGTGTGATCTCCAATCATTAAATGTTAGCAATTTATTTGAAAATTTAAAAAGGCTTGCTGTCTGATGTCCTTGTCCTTGCTCCCCCACACCTGCCCCAGATTTAGTTCAACTCCTCTTTTATGGATGGGGAAAGTGAGGCCTGGAGAAGCCAACATCTATGAGGCAAGAGTGTCTGAGTTGCCACTTGAACCCAGGTGTTTTGTGCCCTAGCTTGGGCTCCTCTCACCATACTCTTTGCTGTTCTTATTACTAGCCACATGGGGAAATAATTAGGAGAGGGAAGTAATTAAGAGAGTAAGTCACAGTGAGTGTAGATTGGGGGAATTGATTTCCAGATACAAAGCAGAAGAGCTGTTTAGATGAACCAAAGTAACAGGTTGATTGTTCCATAGTCACTGCCTCTCGTGGGAATCAGCAAGAAGGGCTGACCTCAGGATTTCTGTACTCTCTATCCAGTGTAAGGAGAGCCTCTAGAGGCAGTGCCTGGTCTGTCTGGTTTGATTGCAGTTGTACTCACAGGGCAGGCAGTTGGTAAATTTCTGTTGAGTAAGTAACCAGGCTTAGAGATTTGAGGAAGAGGGTTAGGAAAAGAAGTCAACAATGTAGCAAGCACTTTCCATGGATTATCTCGGTTTATTCTTTCCAACAGCTCTTTGAAAAGTGGTATTTCCAGATGGGGAAATTAAGGCTCTGGAAGAATAGGAAAGGGAGCAGTTTGGATTTCAACCTAGGGCTGTCTGAATGTTAGCTCCATTCTATTTCTCTGATCATATTTCCCTTTGCTTCTGTGGAATCATTCTCGTTTTCCCCGACCATCCACTTAAAGAAACGTGACTCTTGCCAATACCTAGTTGAATTGTACACAGGGTGGTTTGGTGTAGGAATAACTTGGTACTTTTTTTGTTTTTTTTAAAAGAATGATCAGCAAGACCCACAAAGGAGACCTGGGCCTTGGGATTCCAGAGAAGAACAAGAAGAAGAAGAAGGTGGTGACAGAAGAACCAGAGACTCAGTACTCAGTTGTAAACAGTAACAATTACTTCAATGATGTCTGTCCCACAAGAGCCATATCACCCATGAAGAGTGTGATCAAAGGGCTGGTACCTGAGATCCCTCTAGTGAAGAAAAAGAAGAAGAAAAAGAAGGGCCATAGCACCCTCTGTGAGGAGCACCTAGAACCTGAGACCATGTTATGTGCCAGGTGGACAGAGAAGTCTCCCAGCCCCAGGACAGAGGTTCTTGGTCCATCTGAGTTCCTCAGTGGGGAGAAGAAAAAGAAGAGGAAGTTGTGGCCTCTGGCCATGTCCCCTGATTTGAGGATGAAGACCTCCCTGGACCCCAGACAGGGGGAGAAAGTGACCAGAGTTGACAAGGAGCTCAAAATACACAAGAAGGAGAAAAAACCCCACAAAACCTCAGCCTTCTCAGCCAGGGACACTTGGTTCTGCAAGGCTGAGAATCCTCTGCATACTTGCTCAGTGGGAAAGGATGACCAGGAACAGGCAGCCTTGGGGCAGAAAAGAAAGCAGGGGAACCCCAGGGAACACAATGTGAAGGTGAAGAAGAAGAAGATCCACCAGGAGGGAGACACCTACTTTGGCTACCCCAAGCCCTCCAGGTCCATGGACAGCAGCCCTAGGAAAGGAAGTAAAAAGAAGCCAGTCAAAGTTGAGGCTGCAGAATACATCCCAGTAGGAGGTGGCCTCAAGTCTCCTGTGAAGAAGAAAATGAAGTCCAATAAAAAGGCAGAGCAGCCAGGCATTGAGGAGCCAGCTCTGAAGAGAAAGAAAACAAAGAAGAGGAAAGAGAGCGAAGTAGCAGGAGAAACTTGGAAGGAGGTAAGTTGTCTTTCAGAGGTTGACTCCACTTTGGGAGAGTAAGAGTGGAAGTTGGGAGTGTGTGTGTACATGTGCACACATGGGCAACTCAACTTTTCAGCTGGCAGAACTCTGTTTAAACTGACTTAAGCCAGAAAAGGGATTTACTGACACATGTAACTTACTGAGGGGTGGGTCTGGCATAAGAGGAGGGGGCTCAGTTAATACTGACTGAAGGATGAATCTCCTGGAGTTGAATCAGCAAGAAGGTATCTGTGTGGCCTGTGCTCAGCTCTATCCGACAGATGTAGTTGGGGGTTGTAGGGAGACCCACAGGATGTGGTTCTTGGTCCAGGATTTCTCCCAGCTCTGCCCTGGTCCACCGAGCAGACTTGATTTCACCAATTTCCTCTTTTATTCAGAAACTCTTGGCGTCTAGGAGGAACACCAGAGGTTTTGGAGCCCAACCCCCATCAGAATCTAGAATCCCTTCTGCTAAGAACCCAGTGAAAGGTGGTCAGTTCCCCTCTCTTTAACACCTGTGACAGGGACTCAGCCTACCATAGTAGCCCCTGCAATGCATGCATGTCTTCAGGGTCTGCTCAGGTTATGTGAGAGAACAGAGCCACCCAGGGATAAGTGAAATGTGGCAGTTGTCATTACTAAAGGGAAAGTGCCTGGCCTGAGGCCTCACCATTAGAGAGTCCCTCAGAGTCTGAGGCCAATGAGAGTGTGGCCCGTGTAAGCATTCCTGGACAGAGCAGGCCGAGTGAGGATGTGTCCCATGACAACAGATACGTGAGAGACCTTGGCCATTTGTACAAATGGAAAAGCAGGTGCAGAGGCCCTGGGAGAGGAGCAAAGAGGCTGGGGTGGGGAAAACTGGGTGACAGTGACAGAGAACCATAGAGGCCACAGAAAACTGGGTTTTATGTAAGCAAGATGGGAGCCTTGCAAGTATTTTGGGGAGTGAGGTGACATCTGATTGAGGGTTTTTTTTTTTTTAGATATAATTGACATAAAATTGTGTACATTTAAAGGGTACAGCATATTCTCATTGAATTTTTAAAGCTCACATGAGCTGCTTGTGGAATGGACCAGGGTTGAGGGGTGAAGAATTAGGAGTTAGAGACCTGTGGTTTTCCAGCAGGAGAGAAGGCAGTGACCAGGGAGTGGAGCTGAGCAGTGTGGAGGAGAGAACTGGGTAGGTTTGGGTTTGCTGGCAAGCCCGCTCCCTGTACCCATCAGGGGCCTGAGCCCACCTCTGCATTTCCTGGCCCTTGCTGTCCCCTGCCCCCAACCCTGACTTCCACTATCATTGGAGCCATTGGTTTCTTTTTGCTGGTTTGGTGTCACCCTGCGAGGTCCAGTGACTAATGGGAGGAAAGGTCATGCACCTAGCCTGAGTCAGGAGACCTGAGTTAGTGTAAGCCCTACCCCTGAGCTGTGGGGGTGACCTCATGATATTCACTTCACCTCTCTGAACCTTAGTTTCTTCATCTGTCAAATAGGTGAGTGCCATGGTTTTGAGGAGAATCCTGGAAGAGAAAGGATGTCAAATGTTCTATAGGTGATGGAGTTTGGGGTGCTGCTAGGATCTTGGGTCTTCTCTGGACTTTGTCATGATCTTACCTTGAAGGGCTGCTTGGGCAAAGTCCAGCCTATGCTTGACTTTTGTTCCCTTTGTTCTCCTGTGTAGGAGCCTGACACAGACTTAGAGGTGGTGTTGGAAAAGAAAGGCAACATGGATGAGGCGCACATAGACCAGGTATGGCCCAGGTCTTCATCCCCCATCCCTGAATGTGTCTTGCCACTCTCCTATCAGGCCACAAGATCCTGGTCTCAGAAGGGCCCAAGACTCCAAAAGCCACCAGGCCAGATTCTGTGGCACATCTCTCATAGCAGAGAATTCTGTGGCCTTCTCTACTTCATTGTGGGAGACCCCTTCACTGCCACAGTAATGGCTAGAGGCCATCAGGTTATTCAAGAACCTCAGGCTGAGACTCTCCTCCCTGTAACCACTGCAGGGGGAGAAGGGTACATGCACTCAAGACTTAAAGCCCAGGCAGGGAACACACGCTCAGCCAGGCCCACACATTGCTACCTCCTGGCTTCAATGTAGGATATTTAGAGAAGTAGTTCTGATGTGGACTAGGTTCTGTTTCTGTGGAGTCCAGATCCCTTGGTAAGTGCTTCCTGTATGGGAGCTGGACTTTCTGGAACTGGGGTATTTTCACAACTCTGGACCTCAAGGCCTGGTAGATAGTGTAGTAACTACATGGGCTTGGCCATGGGCCATTACTAATGAGGTGACCTAGGGCAGTCACTAGCCTCACTTAACCTCATGTAGGTGAGCACAAAACTTCATGTAGGTGAACAACAAACCAGGTTGTGTTTGTGAGACACTCGGCAGGGGTCTGCTTTATACATATACTTTAAAAAAATAATGTTTTATTGTATATTGTATTACAGTTGTCCCAATTCTTTTTCCCTTTTGCCCTGCTCCACCCAGCCCACCCCTCTTGCCCAGAGTCAATCCTTCCACCGTTGTCCATGTCTACAGGTCATTCATACATGTTCTTTGACTAGTCCCTACCCCCTTCCTTCCACCATTCCCCTCCGCCTCCACACTCTTTCCCCTCCTACAGGCATCAGTGTGTTCCATGTTTCAATGTCTCTGGTTCTCTTTTTCTCATTAGTTTATTTTGTTTATTCCAGTTATAAGTGAGATCATATGGTATTTGTCTTTGGCCGACTGGGTTATTTCACTTAGCATAATAGTCTCCAGTCCATCTATGCTGTCCCAACAGGTACGACTTCCTTCTTTCTTTCTGCTGCATAGTATTCCTTTGTGTAAATGAACCACAGTTTTTTAATCTACTCATCTACTGATGGGCACATGGGCTGTATCAAACACTTCGCTATTGTAAATAGTGCTGCTATGAACAGAGGGATGCGTAAGTTCTTTTAAATTGGCGTTTCAGGATTCTTAGGGTATATTCCCAGCAGTGGAACCACTGGTCATAAGGCAGTTGCATTTTTAATTTTTTGAGGAAATTCCATACTGTTTTCCACAGTTGGTTGCACCAGTCTGCATTCCCACCAACAGTGCACTAGGGTTCCCTTTCCTGCGCATCCTCACCAGCACTTGTTGTTTATTTATTAATGACAGCCATTCTGACAGGTGTGAGGTGATAGCTTATTATGGTTTTTAATTTGCATCTGTCTGTGATGTTGAGCGTCTTTTTATATGTCTATGGGCCATCTCTATGTGCTCCTTGGAGAAGTGTCTATTCAAGTCCTTTGCTCATTTTCTAACTGGATTGCTTGTTTTTCTGGCATTGAGTCATATGAGTTCTTTATATATTTTGGAAATTAAACCATTTTCCAATGTATTATTGGCAGGTATGTTCTCTCATATAGGTGGTTCCCTTTTCATATTAATGATGGTTTCTTTAGCCATGCAGAAAGTTTTTAATTTGATGTTGTCCCATTTGGTTTTTTTCCCTTTATTTCCTTTTCCTAGGAGATACATTGGTGAAAATATTGCTACGTGGGATTTCTGAAATTTTACTGCCTATATTTTCTGCTAGGACTTTTATGGTGTCACAACTTACAGTGAAGTTCTTTATCCATTTTGAGTTTATTCTAGTGTATGGTGTAAGTTTGGTGATCTAGTTTCATTTTTTTTGCATATACCAGTCCGGTTCTCCCAACACCATTTATTGAAGAGACTGTTTTTACTCCATTGTATGCTCATGCCCCCTTTGTCAAATATTAATTGACCATAAAGACATGGGTTTATTTCTGGGCTCTCTACTTTCTATGTGTTTGATCTTATGCCAGTACCGGACTGTCTTGATTACATTAGCTTGTAGTGTGGTTTAATATCAGGTAATGTGATATTTTATGCTTCTTTCTCTGGGTTGCCGAAGCCATTTGGGGTCTTTTCTGGTTTCATATAAACTTTTGGAATATTTGTTCTGGATCTATGAAATACGACACTGATGTTTCAATAGGAATTGTATTCAACTTGTAGATTGCTTTGGGTAGTATGGACATTTTAATGATGTTGATTCTTCCAATCCATGAACACGGTATATGCTTACATTTATTTGTGTTTTCCTCAGTTTCTTTTTTCAGTATTCTGTAGTTTTCTGAGTACAGGTCTTTTAATCCTTGGTTAAGTTTATGCCTTGGTACTTTATTTTTTTATTACTATAGTAAATGGGATTTTTTTTCTTAGTTTCTCTTTCTGATAATTCATTGTTGGTGTACAAGATGCTATCAATTTCTGACTATTGAATTTGTATCCCGCTATTTTGCTGAATTCACTTATTAGGTTGAGTAGTTTTTTGATGGAGAGTATGGGGTTTCCTGTGTATGCTATCATGCTGTCTGTGAATAATTACAATTTTACTTCCTCCTTTCCTATTTGGATGCCTTTTATTTCTTTTTCTTGTATAATCGCTGTGGTTATAACTTCCTACTATGCTGAATAAGAGTGGTGAAAGCAGGCACCCTTGTCTTGTTCCTGATCTTAAGGGAAACACTCTTAGCTTTGCCCATAGAATATGATGTGGGCCATGGATTTCTCATACATGGCCTTTATTATGTTGAGGCATGCTCCCTCTAGTCCCTCTTTGTTAAGTGTTTTTATCATAAGTTCGTGCTGGATTTTTTTCAAATGGTTTTTCAGCATCTATTGATATGATCATGTGATTTTTGTCTTTCATTTTGTTTATGTGATGTATTACGTTTATTGATTTGCGAATGTACTACCATCCTTGCATCCTTGAACTAAATCCCACTTGATCATGGTGTATGACCTGTTTACTGTATTGCTGGATCCAGATTGCCAATATTTTGTTGAGAATTTTAGCATCTGTGTTCATCAGAGATATTGGCCTGTAATGTTCTTTGTTGTGTGTTTACCTGGTTTGGAATCAGGATGATACTGATCTTATAAAAAGAGTTCGGAGTCTTCCCTCTTCTTGAATTTTTGGGAATAGTTTGAGAAAGATAGGAGTTATTCTTCTTTAAATGTTTGGTAAAATTCACCTGCGAAGCCATCTGGTCCAGGGCTTTTGTGTACCGGGAGTTTTTTGATTACTGCTTCAATTTCACTAGTTGTTATCAGTCTGTTCAGACTTTCTGCTTCTTCTTGATTCAGTTTCGGGAAATTTTATGTTTCCAAAAATATGTCCATTTTGCCTAGATTGTCCAGTTTCTTGGCATATAGTAGTTCATAGTAATTTCTTACAATCCTTTGTATTTCTGTGGTATTGATTTTTATTTATCCTCTTTAATTTCTGATTGTATTTATTCGAGTCTTCCCTTTTTTTTCTTTTCCCTTAATGAGTCTGGTTAAAAGTTTGTCGATTTTATTTATCTTGTCAAAGAATGAGCTCCTGGATTCATTGATTTTTTGGGATTTTTTTTAGTCTCTATGTCACTTAATTCTGCTTTGATCTTGGTTATTTCCTTCCTTCTCCTTGCCCTGGACTTTGTTTGCTGTTGTTCCTGTATTCTTTTAGATGCAGGGTTAGGTTATTTGAGATTTGTCTGTCTTTAAGTAGACCTGTGCTGCCATGAACTTACCTCTCAGGACTGCCTTTGCTGTGTCCCATAGGTTTTGAATTTTTGTGTGTTCATTTTCATTTGTTTCCAGATACTTTTTGATTTCTTTCTTGATCTCATTGTTAACACATTCATTATTTAATAGCATGTTATTCAGTCTTCAGGTATTTGAATGTTTTTGAAGTTTTTCCTTGAGGTTGGTTTCTAGTTTCAAGCCATTGTGATCCAAGAAAATGCTTGATATGATTTCAGTTTTCTTGAATTTGTTAAGGCTTGTTTGGTGTCCTCCTTTGCGGTCTCTCTTTGAAAATGATCCATGTGTGTTTGAAAAGAATGTATACTTTGCTTCTTTGGGGTAAAATGTTCAGTAAATATAAAGCCCATTTGATCTAAAGTGTTTTTCAATACCACACTATCCTTGTTGATTCTTTGTTTGGAAGATCTGTCCATTGTTGACAGTGGTGTGTTAAAATCCCCTGTGATGACTGTATTGCTGCCAGTCTCCTTCTTAAAGTCCTCCAAGATTTTCTTTATGTTTTTAGGTGCTCCTATGACAGTTCACGTATGTTTACAAGGGTTATATCCTCATGTTGGACCCCTATCTTAAGTATTATGTAGTAATCCTTTGTCTCTTGTTAGGGTTTTTGTTTTGAAGCCTATTATGTGTGATATAGGTATGGCTCCCCCAGCTTATTTTTCATGTCCATTTGCTTGGAGTATTTATTTCTATCCCTTCACTTCGAGCCTGTGTAGATCTTTTGTTCTGAGGTGGGATTCCTATAGACAACATATGTGTGGGTCATGTTTTCTTATCCACTCAGCTACCTGATGCCCTTTGATTGGAGAATTTAATCCATTTACATTTAAGGCTATTATTGATAGGAACTTGTTCAATGCCATATTTTCCTTTTGTTTCTGTGTTCCTCTATTTCTTCTTAAAGCAGTCCTTTTAGTACGTCTTGCCGTGCTGGCTTGATGGATATATACTCTTTTAGCCTTTTTTTGTCTGGGAAGCTCTTTATTTCGCTTTCCTTTTCAAAGGAGAGCCTTGCTGGATAGAGCAGTCTTGGTTGCAGGTACTTGCTTATCATACATGGAATATTTTGTGGCAATCTCTTCTGGCTTATAGTGTTTCTGTTGAGAAATCAGCTGACAGCCTTATGAGAGCTCCCTTGTATGTTACTCGCT